TAGCCGCTGTGTGTGGCGTTAGCAGCTATGTGTAGCGTTAGCCGCTGTGTGTAGCATTAGCTGCTGTGTGTAGCGTTAGCTGCTGTGTGGGGCATTAGCTGCTGTGTGTAGCGTTAGCCGCTGTGTGGGGCATTAGCTGCTGTGTGTGACGTTAGCTGCTATTTCTAACATGCCTCTGACTCCGTCAGGCTGCTGCTGCCCTTCATGCAGTCCTACGCTCGCTCTGGTGGATTCTCCATCACTGGGAAGATTAAGACGGCGCTCATCGAGAACGCCATCTACTACGGAACCTACCTGCTGATCTTTGGCTCGCTGCTCATCTACGTAGCTGTTCATCCGGCGCTGCACCTCAGCTGGTGGGTTCAAAACTGGAAAATGTTCTTTTTGTCAGAGTGAAGGTAGAAATCATATTCTTCTTCCAGTTTTTATGTTTTACGCTCAGTCAGGGTTAACACACTGAAACGTAGAACAGAGATTTTACTGAAACATCTCAATATGAAGCAGAGATTTGTTGAAGTTCAAGGACCGTCTGAAAGTTGAAGATTCGATGGTTTGTTCTGTTTGTACAATTTCTAGATGATAAATTAAGTCATTTTGGTGATTTTTAAACAGACGATGTACTTTCCAAACCTGCGGCCAGCTTCAGGGTTCACAATGTGAAGTTTGCTGTTAAGAAGTTTATGTAACGTCTGTGGGCTGGATGGCCGACTGCAGCTACAGAGAACTGGTTCTTCTAAGGAGCCTGGATTGTGACTGAACACAGGAGGCAGTAGTAAAGTTTGAATCTGTATTAACAAGAAAGTTCTTCACAAAATGAATGACCAGTACACCCATACACCATTCCAGGAAAGAGGAAAAAAAATAATGGATTACCCACAATAACTCAGTAGTTTTTTTAACTAAAAAAAAAAACAAAAAAAACCTCTCAGTCTCCGGGGGACTGGAGAGTGAGTGCCAATTATGGAGGTGTCACACTTCTCAGCCTCCTCGGGAAAGTTTACTCTGCTGCTGGAAAGGAGGCTTCGGCCGACTGTCCTGCCTCGGATTCAGGAGGAGCAATGCGGATTCCTTCCTGGTCGTGGACCTGTGGACCAGCTCTTTACCCTTGCGGAGCTGCTGAGGGGGGCGTGGGAGTTCGACCTGCCAGTCCACATGTGCTTTGTGGATCTGGAGAGGGCCTATGACCGTGTCCCCCGAGGAACTCTGTGGGGGGGTACTGAGGGAGTACGGGGTACCGGGCTCGCTGCTCCGAGCCATGCGGTCCCCGTACAACCAAAGTGCGAGCTGCAGCCGCATACTGTGCAGTAAGTCGAACATGTTCCCAGTGGGTGTTGGACCCCGCCAGGGCTGCCCCTTGTCCCCGATCCTGTTTGTGGTCTTCATGGACAGGATGTCAAGGCGCAATCAGGGAGAGGAGGGGGTCCAGATGGTGGAACTCTGGATCTCGTCTCTGCTTGTTGCAGACGAGGTGGTCCTGTTGGCTCCATCAGACCGTGACCTTCAGCACTCACTGGAGCGGTTTGCAGCAGAGTGCAAAGCGGCAGGGATGCGGTCTGGAATGACCTGCTCCACCTACTGCCCCCGCGACCCGAACCCGGACAAGAGGAAGAGAATGGATGGATGGATGAACTCAGTAGTTGTCAGTAATTCCTGTATATAGTCCTCAAAAGAAAAAGTGTTCACATGTTGTTTTTCTTTGTAATCCAAAACCAGGTGGTCCAGGTAGGTAGGTGGGTAGTTTATCCTACCGGGTCCATGATCGGGCCGCCAGGTGAACTGGGTGGAATGGACTCCAAAAGACAATCCAGAACAAAACCTAAAGGGTCAAAAATACACATAAGGTTTGCATAACGTAATCAATACTTAACAGTAACCAACATAAAACCAATGCATGTATAATCACACACGGTAAGACAGTCCATTAACTAAATCAATTGATTGGCCATTGATTAATTGATAGATCAGATAATCAACTCAACAGTCAAGTTAATTGGTCACAGATAAATCAAATTCAAAGTGCACCTTCTATAACTGACATTTAAGTCCAAACTACTCAAGTAGAGTTTAAGAGTTCAATTACTTCCAAGTTCAAATGAATCATTGCGCAATAAAATCATTTCAGTGAATGCGGAGCTACAGCTGACCAAACCCCAGAGCCGATCAGGCCTTANTAATCAATACTTAACAGTAACCAACATAAAACCAATGCATGTATAATCACACATGGTAAGACAGTCCATTAACTAAATCAATTGATTGGCCATAGATTATTTGATAGATCAGATAATCAACTCAACAGTCAAGTTAATTGGTCATAGATAAATCAAATTCAAAGTGCACCTTCTATAACTGACATTAAAGTCCAAACTACTCAAGCAGAGTTTAAGAGTTCAATTACTTCCAAGTTCAAATTAATCATTGCGCAATAAAATCATTTCAGTGAATGTGGAGCTACAGTTGACCAAACCCCAGAGCCGATCAGGCCTTAATAAAAACACAAATAAAACTCCAAACTACGACAGATTCCTAAACTATAGACGGACAGATCCAGTCAGCTGATTGAGATGCTGACAGGAACATGCCTCAGTCACAGTGGAGACAGAACAGGAAGTGAGCTAGACCCATAGTTAAAGGGAATCTGAAGTCACAGGAAAGTGACCCAGAAATAAATAAAATAATTAACTAAATGTGGGTGACACTTAGGCCTGCCCACTTTCTCTAGAAACAAATGTTTTCATTTCACTGCTCTCTATGAACAAATTTCAAAAAATCATTTGTCAGACTGATTAAAACAAGTCACTCCACACAGTCTGGTGGCTGCAGAGCATCATGGGAGATCCTCTCTGTGCCACCACGCTGCTGAAGAAGCCCCGCCCTCTGTCCAGTCCCTCTTCCTGGGATGGTGCGGTGTATGGATACAGGAAGAGGNTGTGCCACCCCCGCCTGGTCCTATCGTGGATGCACTCTTAAAAGGTTCGTAGCTACTTCCTGTTTCCAACATCTCATTCTAAGGTGTCAGAAACCAATGGTAATGAAAACCTGAATTACTGAGTAAAAAGATCATTAAAACAATCTCAAGATATGACGCTAGTATCTGCCAGCTTTAAAAATACCATTTTGAACTTTTGCATATCAGAAGCTTGATGCCTTTGTTCAGTTTGAAGGACTTCCTGTTGATCTACTGTCTGATGGAGGAACACACTAACAGCCTTCAGCAGAAGCTTGCTCCTTTAAAAAACATTAAATCGGTCGTGATGTGGATGATGAGGATAAAACTTTTAGGATTTTTACCTGAACTCAGATTCAGCTTCTCTGCCAAGTTTCATCCTGATAGACAGATGCTGCTCTGAGATATTCAGGAAATCACACAGCAGAGCGTCTCCACCAACACCTCAGTCAGCCCCTCATGTGCTCATCACTCAATAACTTCGTTGTTCTTTTTCCAACAACATCTAAGGCATGCGACTGTAAGAAGCTACAAACGTGTCTTCAGAGACGTGAACTTTCTCTCTGCTCCTCTCAGACCATCTACAACCAGTGCAGGATCGAACACAAGGACCCCGATCCTGTTTCAACCGTCAGCCCTCTGCCAGCCAATCACACGGCAGCAAACTCCTCGGCCACGCCCACCAAAAGGTCAGCACATGGTATCACAGTACAGGTGGAGTCAGCACACGGTATCACGGTACAGGTGGAGTCAGTAAGTCTTGTGTTTCTTCCTCAGTGATGTCACTTCCTGCTACAAACCATGGAGCTACATCCCCGACCGTATCCTGCCGGTGTTCTGGAGGGTAGTTTACTGGACGTCGCAGTGCCTCACCTGGTCAGTATGACTCACCTGTTACCTGTTGGGTTAGGGTTAGCTTTTTAGTTCATGTTGTATTTAGTACCAGCTGCTGTGTTTAGTGTTAGCTGTTCTGTGTAGCTTTAGGTGCTGTGTTTAGCATTAGCTGCTGTGTGTAGTGTTAGCTACTGTGGTAGCCTTAGCCGCTGTGTNCCCGCCTCTCAATCCGTCTGACCAATCGCTGCTCCTATGGCTCCGCCCCCCCCCCACGATTTTTGCGTCACACAGCTCAAACACCAGCTCATCATTTCCCAGGATGCAGTTATTAACTGCAGAGTCATAAACGATTCTGATGCTCTACTGGTCCACGGGGCGGTGGTGCATCAGTAGAAGGGTTTCCTTCAAACTGCCTCATTGGGACTTCTGTGACGCTGCTGTACGGAGCAGGGCTTCCACTGTACATGGAAACCAGGCTTTTCAGTGGACTAGATGGGTACTTGATCCACACATACGTACTCTGCAACAAGGCTGGTCAGTTTTTGTGGCTCTGCTGAGTTGGGCCCATATTTCTGTTGCTGATTAAATAAAGTAGGTAAGGTAGGCTGGAATGATTGCTTTCTGCTTGTTGACGGTTGGTCGTCTTCAGTTTCAGTTTGGCACTAGAAGAAAAATAAATAATTTGTTCAAAATAACAAATCATGATGTCACATTAAATGAAAACCCCTGATTGCACCAACACTGTAAGCTTATTCAGCTTTTATCCTGGTGTAACATGAGCTCATGTAGTAAATGTTCAGTGCGTTTGTGATGGAAGTCAACTTTTACATTTCATGTGGGATGAGACCATTGATCACAGCAGGGAGTGTGATTGGACGTTTCTCCGTGTGCTTGCTAAAAGCCTCACAGTGGTGATAAGAACACACGATTTACATGTACGATGGAGGAAAACACGCTAACAGAGCCGCTATGGGCGTCAATATATATACACGTCCACAGCAGCAAGCCGTTAGCTTTAGCTTAATGCTAACGGAGATTTTTAAATTTATTTTTTAAAATAAATAAGCATTAATTTGTTGGTGCAACCGGACGTATGTTAGTAGCACACTATTTATATGATTTACAAACCTGTTTCATTTGCTCGTAGAGTTCGGGGTGTCTGTCTTTCAGATGTTTCGCCAAACTGGTCGTGCTGCTCGACTCCGTGGCTTCGCCTTGAAGCGCTGCTTACATACGGGCCGGTCAGAATTGGTCGCCTCTCCCGACTCGTTGGTCATGAACCCGAAGCACTTCCAGACTGTACTTTTGCCTCGTTTATTTTCAGCTAAAACCGGCACTGAACTCGCTGTTGCCATTTTCGTTACCGGAGCTTTTCCTGCTCTGGTCGGACAGCGCTGTTTCCTTCCAAGCAGCGGCGTCGTCTCCGGTTGGTTTCTGTCGGGCTGCCGTCCCCAGCAGCACCCTGGGCTCTGGAGGGAACATGTTGGAACAGGTTTTGGTCTGCAGGAGGCCGCGAGAGACGGAAAGGTATCGATACCACGGGAACTGAATATCGCCGCTCGATGCCAGCTTTAG